CGTAATTCTATCTCATAAAGCTTTTTAGCTAATTCATCCAATGGCAAATGTTCACCAATATCTTCAGCTTTTTCAAGTCATGAGAGTGGAAAGGCATCTAAGAATTTTCTACGTAATTCTTCAGACCCATAGTTAGCTCGTCTACCTATTCGTAATATTTTTCTATATAGTTCATCTATAGTCATGTTTTCCTTTCTGATTGTTCCATACATCAGATCCCGAAGCTCCTCTTCTACTATAGGGAAATGAGTTTTTAGCCACCATATAGCTTGACCAAATCGAATGCCTGGTACAACTACTGTAGTTCCATTACCAGCATTTGGTGCATTTGGAACAAGATTAGTATGACGATCTCCTGTTATGCGCCAGTCCTCATCCCATGGACCTTCTACAGCTCTTAATTTTACTATTGCATTTCTAGGTTGTCCGAGTGCCTCATTTAATCTATCAGCACCTATCTGAACAGCTGTACGCCCATTTACAGCTACCAAATTGGCTTGTCCTGTACCATCAGTCAGATTAGTTAATTCCCAATTTGCCTTTGTAGTAATCTTCTCATCAAACCATTCCAGGGTCCTTCCTCTCATATATCCTCTTAAATGTCCTATTGTCTGAGATCTTCCATTAGCCCCTGCACCTGCTGGATCTATTCCCTGATTTTGCAAGTCTAGTCTAAGTTGCGCAAGAAAGTCTGGGATACTATCATCCCAGTCAAAATATGGATGAGGTATTCCTGCCATGTTTATTTGATTAGGTGGATTATTCTGTAGCGCTAAAATTTGTGCCTGCAAATTTAAATTATTCTGGCGTTCTGCTTGAGTCTTATTTTTCCATTTCTCATATCGTTCATAGAGCCTGTCTCGATTATATTCTAACAGATATATATCTCCTCTGCTTCGCTGTAGGTGGTGGGCATTTCGCTGATAGAGTAACTGTAAGGCAAATTTTTCTTGTACCAGCACACCTATACAGTTTTGCTTTCTTGTCATCCTATCTAACATTCTGTTAACCTGATTTCGGCCATTGGTCCGCAACTGATAAAGGTCAGCAATAGCCCTTTGTTCCACCCTTCAGCAAGTTGCCTTCGTATAATTTCATTATCCCTTTCTGCTTCAGCATCATAACACCTTCGTTGTTCACGGACTAAATCCTGATGCAAATTATTCTCTTTTCGGCGAATTTGCCTTGTTGCCCTTTTTATTTGATCTATCAGAATATCTCTAGCCGTTGCCCTATTATCCACATAGCCATCTATAGCATTTGCTAGCTCCGTAATTGTGGCCATATTATTATCGGAATTATACAAGTCTGGAGAATTCCCTCGTTCAGGGGAATTTTTTCGTGATGAGATGCTTCTGATCCGACATCGCAATTTCTTAACTTGTTCCTCAGATTCTACTAACTGCTCTTCTAAACTAGAAATATATTTTCCCTTATCTTGCACATCTTTCCTAGCTTGATATAGCTGACTTTTTAGGGTAGAGATTTCAGATTTTAACTCTACTATTTCTTCTTTCGAAGCATTTTCAAGACGCTCTATCTCCCTATTAAGATCTTGAATTTCTTGCTCACACTGGGAATAATCTCGCTCCAGTTGATTAATTCGTTTTTCATTCTGGCGTTTAAGATCCACCTCTATCTGCAATTCACTATGAAGATAATAATTCTCCTCCTCCAACTCAGCTTTATGTTCTTCACATGTTCTTCTCTGCCTTGGATGAGGCCTTCGAAATGCCATTCTTTTTTCGTAGTTATATAGAAAGATGGGAGAACCGGTTATTTATATAGATTCTCAAAAAGCGCATGATCTTGACCAGGATCTTACTTTGCAGAAATACAAGGAAAAAAGTACCTCCAACTAATGAGAAGAATCTAACTTCATAGATGCCAGCTCCTTTTCCACCTCCCGCAACTGCATCTTCAGATCTTTATTTTCATATCGCAATTTCTTATTCATACTAATTCGCTCTCTATAATCCTTTTCTATGTCTTGCATAAATTTCCCAAAGGTTCATCTATTATAATCGAGCAGGTGTTGGAATAGTATTTTAAGCTCATTCATAACCCGGTGATTATTCTCTTTTTCATGATCATGCTTTCGCGTCTCTGGCCAGGCATTATTATCCGTTTGGACTCCACTATCTACAACATGTATAGTTGGTAATGCTGAAATTACATTACATTCTGGCCAGCTTCGAGGACGCAATGTTTTCTCCTGAGTCATAGTTTTACGTTTCTTCCTATTTAACGAATTCTCATAAACTTCTAATGTGTGCCTCAAATAAAATTCAATTCGTTCAGACTTCTTGAAAATAAATTCTAATGGAACAGGATCTTTAGAATGGTGCAAGAGTCTCTCACATGCTCTCTTAACAAGACTTTCGGGTAGTCTATCAATAATATGTTTATAGTCGGAATGGAACATTTATTAAATATAGGTTTGCGCAAAAAAAGGTTTGTATGCAAAAATAGACTCATAGGCCACTATTTACGCGCCTATATCACGAATTGCATTACATCAGTTAGGGTCACCAGAAGATCGTTAACTAGTCACAGGTCAAGTAAGTAATTTTTGTGATACTGATAGCAAATTTTTTATTAATTCATTCTGTGTTTGCTTATCTTCCAATTTCGCAATTCTGTCCTTAAGCTCAAGATTCTCAGCCTTAATTTTATTATTCTCAACCTCGAACCTGGCAATAGATCTTCTCAATAAATTAGTCTCATCTATTTCAGATTGCATACTAGCGTAATGTAGTATTATTTATGTTTTATATTCAAAAATAAAAAAAAAATCACATGTTTTTCCTCACAGCCCGTCAGCAAAAAAAATGCTAAGAAAATTTTATTATCTGATGCATATCCCACACGAAAAAAAAGCAAAGAAAATGTAATTATGGTAGATGTCACTTGGATAGTTTATTAATATAAAAACATGTTACAAGTATTAATATTTTTTATTCAGAATCTACGGTCATACTATCTTCTTTCTGTCTATCTGATTTAGGTATAGACCCATGAGGGAGTAAGGACATATTGACTATTAAAATATTACGCAAGATTAATAAAGTCTCTATAAATTTTGCTACAATAGCTGGTTCTGACTTTTGCACAGGAACCCCCGACTCGTGTAAATGATAATATCTATCTACATTAGCTCTATCCCTGATAAGAACAGTGAGTCGTAACGTAGATCCAGCAACTTGCAACCCAATTATTCCAAATTCATCCTTTTCAGGCCTCTGATCTTTATAAACCCAATACATCCCATCATTAGTCTCGCGTCATATTTTTACTGCATCGTCTTTTATCTTTTGTTCTGTACAAAATAGACGCGAGCACTCTGTATATATAAGTTCGTATTTTTTCCCTCTATCCATCATTACAAATATGATATCGGGGCGTCTTCCTGAATGTTTTCTTCTATCTGCACTAGTGATGCTCTGATGCTCATACCTAAAAAAAAAAATAGCTTAAATAAATTTATAATAGTTTGTCTTATAAAATATTATTTTACTTACGTGCTAATATAGGTGAATTTTCCATGTGGGAGATTTTTCAAACTAGCTCGAATTGCTGGAACTATCAAATTTGTTAGATAAGTTCCTTCATTTAATACTTCAGCTTCTTCAGGACTAAATGCTGAATTATTCCAAGAGTCATTCCTAATGAAATTAATGCTTCTAAGATAAATATACCTATAATTGCAATCCAATAATAGTAAAATAACTTACAGCGTTTCTAAGATTCCATCAGTGATCTCGGCAAGCTTCTCGTTTGATTCCTTTCACCTTCCATCATGTAAAAGTGCTCAGGGTAATTTATTAGTGTTATGACTAGCAAAATCTCGTATAAATTTATTACATTTCTTTCGTATAAACCCCGGAAGAGTAGTAGGCACCATGTTTCATGCCAGTTTCTAATAACAGATTAGGATTAGAATTACATTTCTTATTTATTAATTTAATGAATACCTACCATAAAATTTTCACGTAATTGTTTTGGTAACTTCTTTATTATATCTGATTCATCTGCAATAACTTGACTACCCAGCGGAACCTTCCATGTTAATTTGTCTGTAGATACCCGATTTACAGCTGAGAACAAATGTTGATAAAGAGTTGATGTGTTTTTTTTAAGTTTAGATTTCAACTTATTTATATTGCTTCTGATTTGAGCTGAACTAAGAGGTTCTTCTTCGTTTACTTTTACAACTCCAATGGCTCACAAACTAAAAATAGCTTTATATGAAATGTCAAACTAACGCAGACATAAAGTAATTAGTTTATACCCATACAAATAATATTATTTTCAGAGGCGCATGCGATGTCAGATTATAAACAAGATTTTGTTTTTATGAGGTTAGCTACTCCATCACGCAAACAAAAATCTTGTGCAATGCTAAAATATCAACACAAAATTAAGCATGTATATATAGCTTAAAGAACCCTCCTGCTGTCGAGGAAAATCCTGTTGGCAGGCTATAGGGAACTTAAACTATTATGCCCTCTTCCTTAGTGGCATCGCTGTCTGTGTCTTCTTCATCCAAAATTAATATTTTATAGAAAGCTGTCGTTAACTTACCTCTGAAAGAATTTTTAGGAGAGTTGTATGACATGAAGAACCTCGAATATTTTGACTATTTGCGAGAGTTACTGCCTGAGATATAATACTCCTCAGCTCATTCTTTGATACCCATGGGTCATCTTCAATCCCTTGATAGATAACGGAAGCGCCAGTAATATGCTCCTCTTCTGCATTTACTAAGAAATTATAAATTTTAGTAGATAAATGAGTATTCATGCTGGAAAAAATAAAAAGCGACAAATAACTTTATTTCTATATACTTGCCCTTTTAAATCTCCATTCATACCCTCTCTAACTCGCATTCATATTGGGGGGAGAAATAGGAGAAATATGCAAGGCACTTTATGCCAAAATTTTATGTTCGTTAGTAAAAAAACATGCAGAATGTGTATTGAAGATTTCAACATTTACAAAGAGCATTGGGAGTGATGCATATACGAACTTTTTTTTCACCCGACCGCTCAGTAATAAAGACCTAGTAACATTATATAAATATACTCTGGTCAAAATCTAGTAGGAATAGGTTGTAGAAATAGCCTGTAGCTCTGGAGGAAATAAACTCATAAATAAATGCTATTCAGATAGATAGGGAAAAAATTTGAAATATTTTGGAGATCGATTTCTTATGTGTGAAAAGTAATTTGTCGCACAAGCAGTCACATAGAGTTATAGATGATTTGATTTACCGTTGTAACACCAACAATTTTATAATTAAAATTCTACCCCCCACATGGCCCGGTGACATTTAGGGAGTGTGAAAAAAAAATTTTTGGCACATAAAAAAATTCTAAGTCCCCAGGATAATTATAAAAAATGGAAAACTAGGGTGTGATGGGTGGGGTGATGAATATTAATGAGATCACGTGGGGGTAGAAAAATTGTTGGTGTTACTGGGGAAGCGAGATGATTTGCGGAGTATCATCTATTACATCATATATACTGTAACGAGGATCCGAAAACATGCTAATTTATGTCGCACATGCCTACATGCATTGTGGCAGAGTGGAAGTAATAGTGTAATCCTAAATTGGGTAGTAAAAAAGATATTATCGATTTTTTAAGTACTTTTCATAATAGTCAATAGTAAATAGCAATTCAAACAGAAACCTTTGCGAGAAATCAACACTCCTGTATGCTACCCTATCCAATCGTCGTCTTAACTGATATTTCTTAGCTTCTATCCATCTACTAGAAGAACAATAAACATACTCCTCATATGGTGGGGTTGATTTGACTGGATTAATTATTCCAATATATTTTGAGTAACTTTTTCTAAATAAAGCATAAAACTCATTACAAGCTATAGCATACTCTTCTTGCATCTCAGGATTTTTTACCATCTGTTCTTTTCTAAGTATACCTAAGAATTTCTTTCTATCAGAAGTACCATCATTTCTCACCGCTTTCCAAACTCGTTTTGCCGAAGATTCAGGTCTCTTCTTGTAATTCCTATAAGCTCGCTGAATAACTGTTGCATAGAAATATTCAAAGCCATAATTATAGTAGTATTTAGGAATCAAGAATCCCCAAGATCGCTTCATTGATCTTCCTAAAATACTTCACTAAAATAGTTATATATTAGAGGATCTAACCCAGAATAGGTAGATCATATTTTTTATTCGGCAGGTGATACATTTCATAATTATACTAGGTGATTATGCATGCAGATTATATAGCACAAAAAATAAAGAATGTATACATTGCATTTTTGGCTAAATGATATTAATCTTCAATTAAAAGCAATAGTTTATAATTAATATATTTCTTGGAATAAGTCAGTTAAATGAATGTGATTTTTGTCCTATTTTTCAAGCTTAATGCGGGCTGATTAAGATTATTTATAGATGGTAGTAAGTTATTTTGTTTTGCATACCGAGATGAGATAAATATTTCACTTGTATTACTTTTGCAATTTTATGATTGATAAGAAGTTGGTAAAATCATTTCTTACCTAGCAGGTGAAATACAAGCTGGCTCGAAATTTGGAGCACTTGGTATAGTATTTTTTTCTACTATTGCTCTAGATTGTGCATAATTTTCATAGCTAGCCGTAAAATTTCCATTATGATCATATAATACCGATGCCAATTTATCCTTTTCTGAGTGTGAGATAGATTGGGAGAAAAGCTCTAGACGAAGACGATTAATTTTCACCTTTTCTCGTAATATGTATAGTTTATATTGCTAAATTTCAAATTCCCTTCTATCAATAGATTTGAGAATTTCTTTTCTTCTTGCATGTTCATTCGAAATACTATTTCCAGAAATGCATCTCTTCAAGTGGTTATCTTGATAGATACGAGCGCTAAAAGAAGTATCAGGAATGAAAACTAAGGAGTCACATACACTACAATATATATAATTGGTTGGATGAGCATGGATTTTATCACTTTCATATAACTTTCCGCACATTGAAATATATCTATTTTTAGAAAGGATTTCTGAATTCTCTTCAAGTATTTTCCTAAATAGGCCACGAATACGAGAACACCACATTTCTGGTATTTCACGATCACACATATGTGATAAAGGCCATATTGCATCAACTATTCTTCTATATTTTTCAAAGTTTATATCTCCATAGCTTACTCAAAATATCTTAGAATAGGCTCTACCATCTAAATCCATATTAGTGTTTTAGTAGATTATAATAGAATATAACGATTTTATTGATTTATAGTGTTTTTAGTAATTTTAGCCAATTTAGCAATATTATACTCTAATAAATATCGGATTCAAATTTATACGGATTTGCTGGTTAAGCAGTTTTAATGATATATAGTGGTTTTATTGATTTGTAGCCGATTTAATGAGGACTACATACTACTAAATCCAAATTCATTTTTATTCGATTGGGGTTTATATAGGGTCATCTTTCGGGCTAAGCTAATTTTATATTTACATGCATATGCACAGCACCTTCGGTTTGTGACATGATGTATTGTATATCGTATCACATGAGATCTCCCTAGTTTCCTGCTAGTTTCTCGATAGTTTTAGGAGAGTTCTAGGAGCTGGCGAATTTCTATAAATCACGAGATGATTGACCAATCAGATTTTACCTCTCTTGATCTATTGACATGATAGCTAAGCCACCGTTATTATTTGATTAAATCATTACATTGATCAAATTAATTAGTCTCGCAATAATCTCACATATCACTTGATATTTCTCCATAAAACAGGCTTCAATTCCCTTAAGAAACTTCTCATCATGTAAAAAAATATCTTCTATTGAGTGGTCTGATGCTCAGCTTCGCATTCTCATTGACGAACGAAAACGAAGAAATGTCGAGTATCACACTACTCCAAACAAGAAGAAATGATTTTTTTGGGAGAATATCGCTGAGAAGATAAATGAGCAGGAAAATACAAACTTTTTCATGGGTGATGACTGCCATAAGAAGTTTTTAAGTCTCACAAAGGCTTATTATGTAAGTAACGATTGCTTAGTTCTATGAGGAATCTGACTGATCAAATATACTTATTATTATTTTGTTAGATGGCAGAAAAATATAAAAAAGGTACTGGAATGAAAAGAAGTTTAGTTGGCGAAGAAATTTATGAAGAGTTCTCAATGAAGTTCTGGTTAAAAGCAGGTATATTTCTGTAGAAAATAAGTAGGTGATTATCTCTAAATTAACACAATTCTATCTATCACCATTTGCTAGAACATCCATTCGAGCAAGTGCGTAATGAAAGTATTAGTAGGACGAGTTCTCCTGAGATATCATCCTCTTCAATCTCACCTAAACGGCCTAAAGGGAAATCAAGTTCTGAGCAACAATCATTGGTCATTCACGCTATCAGATATTAGTAAATTATATCTTAGATACAGTGTTGGAGATTATCTCAAATGAAGGTATAAAATGGGAATCATTTAGTTGTTCAATTGTTTTCACGCATAATGACGCTATCATGTATTTCTTCAAATGAAAGTATAAATTGGGAATCATTTAATTCACTATTATGAGAGTTAATAATCACCTGAATAACACATGTATAGATTTATATTTACATTTGCAAAATGCACACATTTTAAAAATCAATCAAAACATTCTTTATTGCAAAGTAATACATGAGAAAGGGCCGGCCTACTAAGTAAAAATGAAAGTAAAAAATAATAGAGTAGCAGTAAAGATGGGAACTGTAATTAATATGTTGCAACTTTTAATGTTGCAACTTATGTTGCAATTAGTTTTAACCTATATATGTTGCAACTTATAATGTTGCAACATATGTTGCAACTAATTTTAGCTTATGTTGCAACATTTTGTAAATTTGAAATCAATTGCTGTACCATCTTTAAGTAGCAGGTTGTTTCAAGGGAAGAATAAAGCATAAATGCCTGCTGAGTCCTAACCCATATATTGGCAGTTCCTTCCCCGCCACTCAGTATTGATGTAAATGAGTGTTATCTATCCAAGTACCTATCTTTTCTAAGTTTTTGCTATTTAAATTTTCCCACGATAAAATCCCTTTATTGTATCTTTCCCAATTACTCCCATCCCAAGTCTACTAAGAATATCAGCCGATACAATGGCACACATCTGATCTAAAGAATAATCATTCGCACCCTTAATCCTATCAAAGATAACCATAAATTGTTCCCGGATTACAGAAATGTTATTTGTGAATTTTTGGCTCGAGTCTGCAATCAAAAAATGTTAGTCAATCCCCTAATACATAAAGCATTGATTATCAAGAATTATTTTGTTTTTATCTTACCAGAAGAATCAGAAGAGCTTGAAGATAAATTAGCTGAAGAGCCTCGCGAATTAGTTTCAGATTCATTGGTCAAATTAGCTTCAGATTCATTGGATACACTTTGTTGATCAAATTCGACCTGAAGTCTTTGGGCAATTGCATAACGTTGGATCATTTCATTTCAGAGAGCTTCAATAGAGGTCTTGATCAAAGTGAATTCAGATGAAATTTTGCCAAAATCATTACGGCAGGCTTCTTCAATATTATTAAGTCTTGTGATCACATTATCGACCATTGATAAAATTTTCTGCGTCTCAGAGACGTAGCCAGCATCACGTTGTAGTTGCCATAACCTTGTTTTACAAATATATAGCATTTTTGAGTTCGATAAGCTTCAACATAGCTTGTACCTTCTTGATCGTTTCTGCC